ATGTTCCTGCCCTAATTGTGCCCTATTCTAACGATTTTCGACCTCATTCCTGCACAAATGGTATCAGAGGGGGCTTCGAATTCAAACTATATGCAAATCTCCGGAACCACCTTTTCCTGACCTGTGCCTTTAAGGCTTTACAGAGGCTCAAAGATTGCACAGGTGCATCCTCGGACGAGTTTCATCGACATTGTTGAGGCTTTACCGATCACAAGGACACCCATGTATAAAGTAAAAACTACTTTTCATGACTCGTCCGGATACCCCTTCCATGATATTTCCGTCATGGCAATCTCGTCCCGCCTAACAATCTATTCTCCTTACTTTAAGGAGCCATATTTTTCTCAAAATCAGCGGATTCTCTTGCTTTCCTCACTTCCGATGAACTATTCCCAACCTCTACTTCCACTTTTCGAATAAAAACGGGCACCTCAAAATTATCGTGAGCTGTGCCCTTAAAGTTGGAAAACAACAATCAGGCGCGTAACCATGAAAAATCTCACCTTTTGGCAACTTGCTGTAGTGGCAGACATTTCTCCTTCTATTTCCATCTTCACCATTGTAAGGAGAATCTGAAAAGAGCATCATAGTCCTTCACTGATTGAACTATTGTTCGGTACTAATTTGTTTACAACCTCTCCCTCTATAGGACCACAACACATGACATGAAATATCTTGGCAACGCATCGAAAACCTATAGGTGGGGTTTCTAGGAGAGCAGATTTTCCGTACTCTCATATATACATCAAAGACCCTGGGGAAAGTGACCTTGTACCAGCGCGAAGCCTGAAAAATATTCATTGCTACCGGAGCTTTTACTCAACCTAATAGCTTTAGTATTTATGAATATTTTTCCCTCAGGGTGGAAGAGAGGAGAGACATCTCACGAGGGCTGCCTTACTCTGTGCCAACGGATACAACCATTCCCTATTATCAGTTCAGAAAAGCGCAATCCTAAGTAGTTTTGAAAAGAGGTCGAACCTTATATCCATCCCTAGCGACGATCTCCCAATCACAATGTACATCCTTGTTGTATTTGATGGGATAGTTAGGCGACATCACATAACCAGTTGGAGTGGTCGCACTGGCTCTGATTCGTCGACCACATCGATACGCTCCTTCACCACGAGGCTCTTTCGTTTCTGAAGTGACACTGTTGTTGGTTCATGTGGACTTAATTGCCTACTGAAGTGAAGACTTGATTCACGAATTTATGTTTAGAAGATCAAAAATGCCACTTCCACCTGACAACAGAGTTTTTCCCAGACAACACTAAAGTTTCGCTGTCTTGGACCCTTGGGAGTCAACAACCAAAAATCGATATATTGATTGACGGCTCGTGTCAGTAAGCAGTTCGATAAATAGTAGGAGGTAAAGCCATAACAACGAAAAAATTGAGTACCGTGTGTAGGAATGTCCTCCTTGGCAGCCGGACGAATCTCGTAGAGAGCCTTGAAACCGTTCCCAGTACCTGTTGAATCGGAACTGAAGATGACACGCATCGAATGGGCTCCAAATGCGGACACCGTTGGACCTGGGAAGGTGTCGGAACAGTAGCGCTCTGAAAATTATTATTTTGAAAAATTATTTTAATTGTTTTCTTCTTTCTGGAAGTGATAACGAATCATCTAAAACTTTCAGAAATACCTTGTAAAGAAAGTCGTTCTTCTGTGCCTTCATTGAAAACATCGTAGATCTCAAGCCAATCCTTACACCTGAAGTAACCACAAAATAATGCGAGTTCCAAATGATTCATTTAACTTAGAGAGTGGAAATGAAGATGTTCAAAGGCATAGTTCGCGATCATTTTGGGCAATCCAGATTTTGACGAAAAATGGAAGATAAGTTGGAAAATAGTGCAATGAAGGCGAAGGAACTGAGTGAATCTGTGTTTCCAAAGCGAAAAAGGGCTTCAAAAAATCGTAAAAAAGGAGGATGGACGAGAAAGAGTTTAGAAGAATATCGAAGAATGGGGCGTTTGGACGAGCCATACATTGTGAATCATTGCGTACGTTTGGCTCCTAGTGCAAACAAGTGACTAAGCAGTAAGCAAAATATCATTCATTTTAAGCACAAGTAAAGAAAAATGGGTTCGAATCCTGGATTAATATACATATAGGCCAAGCGAGCCTTCGATTCCTCCGGGATCGGTTGACTGGTATTCAATACGCCACTACGATTCTGAATGGAAATCGAATGTGTGGGCGCATTTCTCAGACGGGATTGTTTCACGCTGCAGAATTTGTCCTTTTCCTAGGCCCCTTTTAAAAAGGATAATCTGTATGAAGTAATTCCCGACTTCATGTTCGACCTTCTCACAATCCTTCGAGAACCTCGATTCTTAAAGATGAACCCGGCCCCAACGACCCAAAACTGACCGATTTGATTCGATTGGATTTTTTAAGCAAACAAGGGGAATGCTGTGAACAAACTTCAAAGGAATTCGGAAGACAAGGAAAACTAGCGTCAACAAGGACTCAAAAAAGTATGTTCCGGATCCTTTCCAAACTCGCTGTTTAGGGCTGAATCGCGAACTTGGAAATGGACACTTACCGACCCTCTCCTTGTTCGACATAAAGCGCAAACTGCTCGAAATGAATTAGAATCTGCTGACCAACATTCCCTTCGATGAAATAGGTGCAATTGGTGTCAAGGGGGTACTGAAATACTTATAAATACCTTAAACTATATCTAATAAATAGCATTGTTAATATACTTCTATCACTGAAAGGACTGTGGTGGAGAAGTGCAACTGGCTCACCACACCACCCACACCCTTGGTCTGGAGATTAAACCCCACGCTGCTACCCTCCCGGGGCTTCCAACCCTCCAGCCTATTCGGGATCGATTAATCGAAACCAGACCTGTCTGGGAGGATGAAAGCACCGACTTCGACAAGCACTGCAAGTCTTTGAAAGCCTGGGTCACATGTTCGCATCCAAGAGATAACTACGATTCTGAATGGAGCGTGGGAGTATCCTAGAAATGGGATAGCTAGCTCCAGAGACTTCATCCTTTATCCTTCACCTAGTGATTCACGAGTGAGAATTCAAATCAACCCCGATAGGCCGACGCCGTTCCTAAGCGGTATTCTGAGCAGAAAGCCAAATAGAACATATAGAGAATCGAATTCTGAGAGATCCTAGTTCTGCCCATTAAAATCCTATTCACTTTCTACCAATGCCAATCATATCACCAGCATTAACTCCGTAATATCATACATTATCACGAATCAGGGCACACATCGTGTTATTCGTTATCACTCAACGAGACAACAATTTTGTATGAGGTTATCATCTCCCATCTCTTATCAGCCGGACTCATCTCGTGTCAAATTTTTAGAAGGATTTCAGACAGTCTTTTGCTTTATCATTGATGAGACAACTATCACTTACATTGGCTGGATATCTTGGACTGTTGAAGAAACCCATCGGACTCCGAAACCGGAACAGACACTCGTTTGATGTACCCATGGGCTCACCAGCAACACCGAAGTCTGAAATTGTTGTGTACATAGGCTAAATCGTAAACAAAAACGCATATGCCTCTACGTGAAGTAGTCTGGTAAGCAACTGTAGATGAAAATGAGTCTCACAAACTAAATTACCTGTTTTGAACTCGACTTTCGCCTTGAATCCATGAGGACGAAGGCCATCGGTGAGCAATTTGTCCGTAGTACCGAATTGAAGTACCATTCGCGGTCCAACGCTCACATAGGGGCCCAGTAATGGAGATCCTGGAAGAAAACGTAATTGGAAAGGTTGGGACGATAAGGAAAAGGTGTTGCATGTATTTATACTGGTACCTGAAGGTATCCTTTCACAGAGCGTAGCCTCGAAGTTACTCTCATCTGTCGAGGAGAGGGTAGCTTTCATGGTTGCGTCCGAGATGGCGACCCCTACCCAGGCTGCAGGACAGGTGATATCGTCCAGAGATGGAGGCTCCGTTATACCAGTACTGTAAAATGGAAACGTTTGCTAGTATGTATGGACCGATTTCCTATATTAGCGAGTGGTTTGGTATGGGATTTGTATTCTGATCCCATACGAAGATGTTGAAAAGTACGAGTGCCTAGGGGGATTCACCAATCGGTCTGGCTGCTTTCATAGTTCGCAAGGGGGAGAGCGCGCGAGCCGGCTGGGGGACTACGGCGGTATCGACCAAGATTCAGTTGTAAACAAGGGGCAAGCGCCGCCCTCTGTCGCTCGTCCCTTCGGAGAGCAAACTGCATTTTGAATCCTACAGATAATTATTTATTCCAACACTCCCACACTTTAGCACATGGGTTTGCTCGAAAGAATACATTGGGCTTTAATCCCAAATTCACCGAAATTTGACATATACCACGGCACTCACAACACTTCTGATAATAGCAACGCCTTCAATAAGCATTGACATACCTATCATCATCTGACAGCACAGCAAACTCTTCGAAGGTAAGAATCACTTTTTCCAGGTTCTGATCACCTTGCAAACCATCGAGGATGTAGGAACACGTTGTATTGGGAGGATACATCTCCGGATACTGTAATGAATACTGTAGTTTAAGAACCTATCAGTATAAAGTTTCGACCAATTCAGTAGGCATGGGGAAAATCGTT